TACTAAGTAAGAATATTTTTATTAGATAACAGTAACAAGCTCAAGTAAGATGAATTTAAAGATGTGAAGTGATTGTTTAAAACTGCTGTGCAAAGTAAAAAAGTCTACAATTGTCATTTGTTTTATGTACTATTTTCCGTAAGGGATCGTCCATAAACTACGTAGTCTCAAATTTGTCACTTTTTGACCCCTCCCTCCCCCCACGTAGACCAGCGTAGTTTTCGGTTTACCCCCCCCCCGTCCAGTAGAACGTAGTTTTTTCAATTTTATAAAAATGCATTTTTATTCATAAAAACATAGTATAAATAGAAACATGTCAATTAAAACACAATTTTTTTTTCATTTTTGCATATAGCAACAAACGTATCTTTTAACATGAACTTTATTAATCTTTTTTTCGTTTGAACATGAAATAAAATTAAATAAAATGTTAAATCTTCAACATCAACATAAAAAATCACTTAAATGACTAATATTTTTAATTTAAATATAAATATTTAAGAAAAATCTTCTGTAAATAATGAGATCAACCAATCATGTAGGTCAGTTATGACCGGAAATACATTTTCGTCTGATTCGTCATTAGGAACATCAAGCGAGTCTATTTGAATCTCTTCTTCTTCAAGCCACTCTATTACGGGCTCTAAAGTACCGATTTCACATAATACTTCTGTTCCCCGCTTTGTGATTAATTTGTTTACACGCTGTTTTTCACAAGCGCTGGTGCTACGACCATGTACGGCTTTACTGTGGATGCCTTTTTGCTTTTTGGATGCAAAATAAGCACCACAAAAATCACATGTTCTTCCTGAAAATTAAGAAAAATTTACAAATTGTTTATATTTATAAATACAGTCAAAATGACGGACTTAGGTTATGACTTTTTTTCGGCTGTGTGTCTAATGATTCTTTAATTTATACCTTCGATTTCATAACGCACTGAAGGACAGTAAAAATCGTATGGAATAGGAGAAGCTGTTGTAGTGACAGGTTTTAATCCAATGGACTGGCGTAGGCAAAGGTCCGGAAAACTATCACTTTCCTTGACATCTTCGGGGGGAGGAATGATGAGTTTTCCTTGATCTGTCCTACGCAAAGGAAAAGGCGGTGGTAGAAAACCATTACTCATGAGAAGAACATCTTTTATATTACTTCTCCACTCGCCACAGCAGCTTTCATCAGCGCACTTAACGATCTGCAATTATTAAAATAAGTTTACAAATTTTGTTTCTTGTCGTCTTGTCGTCCGACGTATCATGTTTTTCAACGCCAATCCGATGTATCATGTTTTTACACCCAGCCATCGTAATGTATTAAAATTACGTTCATTATTTTGGAAATTATTCAAATTTTTATGAAACATTGAAAATTACGCTTTTTAAAATAGAATAAAATATTTTTAAAATCATTGTATTAATTCTTATTTTTTTCACTGCTTATTCAGTCTTTTAAAATTTTTGAGCAGAAAAAATTATGTTTTCATAAATTTTATATTTTAAACTATTTTTTATTATTAAAATAAACGTAGTCCCAAAATTCTGACTTCTAGATTATATTTATTATTTTCTTTTTATATCTAAATCTTCTTTTTTGACTTGAAAAACAAATTTTATGTTTCAGCAGTACAATTTTTTTTATTGATCATGTTGTAATAAATTGAAATATTCAAATCTACTTTTCAGTTTTTTCAAAAAAGTTTTTGTATTACTAAAACAATTTTTGTTCAAATATAGAAGTCAATTTGAATCCCATTTTTACAATTTCAAGTAACTTTTGGCGACTTTTTCTGACATTTCATTAGACTTTTTTTGTAAATTTATGCGACTAAAGCGACTTTTTTAAATCTTATAGTTGATCCGAACCGTGAGCGCCGGAAATATTTATTACTCATTAAATTTATCATCTTTAAAAATCGGTGAGGTTAAATTCGCAATAGCACATAAAATAAACATAATTTTCTCACTTTTTGGTACCAAGCACGAAGACATTTTACCTCCTAAAATGTCGAAAACTTTTATTCTTTGATTAAGTCTTTCGACATGTACTCTTGCACTTGCTATACTCGAAGTTTCCACAGCATCGTTTTCCGAAAACTGAGTTTGATTTTTATTAAAAAACGAGGGCCTTATTAATTTTATGTTGTTATCGGCACACACTTCGACAATTAAAAAGCCTTTATCCACCATAACAGCGGAATTTTCCTCTAGAATATCTATTAAACCGCTTTGATCGAAAATAGATTCATCAGAAACTCGACCACCGTAGGCTTTGGAGCAAAAAGATATAATTCCACCGGGTGTTACTCCTGTCAAGAATTTAATCGTGTGCCTTTCTTTGTAATGGAAGTACGTTGAAATTTGGCAACACAGATTTTTTGGTTTCTGAATCTCAATTTATTTCTGTGCAATCCAAAATTATTCTGGTCTCGGAGTAATCGTCGAAACAGTGCGGAATATTTCTGAGAATTTCATCTTTCGTTGGATAGTTAATATACGGTTTCATAATTTCATATAAAACATCTATCGCATTGCAAATAATATCAAAACAATATCTCTGACTTACGTTTGGGAATAAAATCGAGAGAAATGCATAAGATAGATTTTGCTTTAATTTCAGAAATGTGATTAAAACTCTATCTTTTGTATCCACAACACGAGTGTGATTTTTTAACTGAGGAGCAGCTATATCAAAAGACTTTACAAAATTGTTAAACAATCTTAAATTCAGAATCCCAGTGGCGGTGCTTAATTTCTGATCGCTTTTGAGGAAATTAAAAAAGGATTGTCAAAATCTCCACTTGTCACTTGTGTTTCCGCATCTTCAAAAGCATTTTCTTTAATTTCTTTGATAGGCTCTTGAATTGTTATGTTAGCAACAGAAAGAGTATCATCGAAATTATTCACATTATTTTCAATGCTTCCTTCAACAGAAGAAATTTCGCCTTCTTCCTCATTGTTTTGATTATCGTTTAAAAAACAATCACAATTCGAATCATTTTCTTTTTCGTTCAAAGATCGTTTTTCTCGCTTTTCAAATGGAAGTTTTCTCCTCTCATCGCATTTTTTTTCTCATCGCTTTGTTTTTCTATTTCCACAGTCGACTTTGGCAAATTTACTGACGGTACAGCAGTTAGTTTAAGGAATCGAGCTTTAGTTGTTTGATCTACAAAAATTTATATAATTAATCAGAAATGAAGAAAAATGAATAAAACTTAAAGTACTTATATTTTAAAGGTGCTTATCCTCTTACCACAACTTCAATCTAAAGAATAATTTTTAAAAGAACTAAAAATATGTTTAAAATTGATTTCGGTTAATTTTGAAAGATCCAGTTGTACAATTTTCAGAAAAAATTATTTTCAGTCAAAATTTGTTATTAAATAATAATTAATTAACTTTTTGTGTTTTTTCTTAATAAAAATTATCTACGAATCGTAATTTTTTATCCAATTTTAATAAACAACAGCTTATTTTACTCTCCAAAAGATTCTCTGCAACTTTGTTCGTTGAATTTGATTGAAAATATTTTGTTCAAAAGTTATTAAAAAAATAACAATTTGCTTATTTATAAATTTTGACAAACATTTTTTTAACAAAATTTAATAAACATTTTTTTTAACAAAATTTAATAAATATTTTTTTAACAAAATTGAACAAACATAGAATTTTAGGAGAATCTTTCAGAGAATAAAATGAGCTATTGTTTATAAAAATTGGTCAAAAATTATAATTCGTAGGTAATTTTTAAAAATAAAAATACAATAAATTAATTAATGACCATTTGATAACAAATTTGAACTAAAGATAATTTTTTCTGAAAATTGTACAACTGGATCTTTTAAAATTAGGCAAAATCAAGTTTTAATATATTTTTGTTTTTTAAAAACTATTTCCAAGTTTAAGTTTACGTTAAGAGGATAAGCGCATTCTTAATATAAATAATATAAAATTAATAGTATGTTTTAAATAAATTTATAAATAAATATTAGTTTCTGAATTAAATTTAAAGTTTTAAATACATATATACACATTTTCTTACCTGGTCCAGTAAAAAAAGAATAATCATTTTTTGTAAAATGGAGCGAACAAACTACCATATAATCTGTAACCTTTTTACCCATTTTTAATTGTCTTTCCCATAAGACTCTCCTGTCATTTTGTTCATTAACACCAAATTTATTTTCGAAATCAACTTTTAATAATCCAGCTTTCGGAAACTTATGAAAACTAAGACTTCCCTGGGAGTAAATTCTACTCCAGAATCCATATTTATATGTTTATCACTTAACCTTTTATAGAAAATAAGGGATATTTTATTAGAAATATCAATTGTTTACATCTGTCACATGTATTTTGATTGTCAGCGACTCATTCCCTCTCGTTCACATTTTCGCCACCAGATTGCGCTTCACGATTTTGCCGTTCCCAATAGAATATGAAAATAAAAATGAATGGATAAGTGCAGTAGACGAGGAACTGAGTTTAATAAAAAAAAACCAAGTTTGGACCTTGATAGATCGCCCAAAATTAGGAAAAACAGGTAAACGACCGAATATTATTGATTCTAAATGGGTGTTCAAAAGAAAAAACGACTGTTCCGGACAAACAAAATTTAAGGCAAGATTAGTTATACGGGGTTTTAAAGATAGAAACTCGTACGATTTGAAGGAGACCTATGCACCTGTTTCTAGATTAACACTTGTGCGAACAGTGCTAGCCTTAATCAACAATTACGATCTTGATGTATGTCAACTTGCCTTTCTTAACGGCATAATAATTAGTCCAAAGTGCTAGAATAGGAAATTCACTGAAATAGCAAAATCATTAGGACTAGAAAACGATGAAAAAAAGGATCAAAAATGATTTTGATTATTGATTGTTTACATGGAGTTCCGGGAAAATAACAGTAATTTTACTAATTTATGTCGACGACATCTTGTTAGCAAGCAACGACAGTGTAAAACTCCTGAAAATAAAACAAGTTTAATGAATGTTTTCAAAATGTCAGACCTTGATGAGCCGAAAAAATTCTTAGGCATGACAATCCAAAGAGATAGAGAAACGAAAGCTATGACTATATCTCAAGAAGATTACATCAATAAAATTTTATTAAAATTTGGCTTTGAAAAGGATTTTCCTAAGAATACTCCAATGATAACAAGGCAAGTAGCAAATCATGAACGACGTGCGCGAGAAGAAGACCATAACGAACATCAAAAAGACTGTACACTAAATATTCCATACAGAGAAGCCATAAGTAGTCTCTTGTATTTGTCAGGTGCCACTCGTCCTGATATTGCATATGCAGTTAATGTTCTCAGCAGACATCAGCTCAGCCCGACTGAAAATGAGTGGAACATGGTGAAAAGAGTGTTTATGTACTTGAAAGGGACTCAATCAATGGGCTTAAATTATTTAGGACCAAGGAAAGATTTCCTAGCATATTCTGACGCCAGCTTTTCTGATTGCAAATCATCGATTTCGACATGTGGTTTTTATTCCACCCACATTAAATAGAAGTCAACAAATAAAATTAAATTACAAATTATCCACAAAGTCAAATAATAATTCTTCCTTTAAGCTTATGAATTCAAAATTAAGAGAAAATTATTAATTTTTCTCTTTTAAATATATCAAGTATACTCAAAAATTATCTATCGCGTGCAGCACTTTACGGACACACTGTCTCCCATATGCCTTTTAAATGTAATATATAAAATGATTTAAACCAATTATGACACTTAAGGGGGAGTGACACCTTTGACCCGGAAAAAGAATCAATTTTTTTCGTTTTCTTAAACGATACTTTATGATGTGTAGAATAGAAATTATATCAGCAAAAGCGATTTCGAAGTAATTTTATGTGAAAAAAATTGGACAAGTGCGAGTTACACTCGCATTAAAACCGACGGTTCCGTACCCCTAATCCTAAAATTTGAGGGGTTTAAAGTGTGAAGGCCGATGGAAAAATTCCAATTTTGCTTAATTTTTCCTGTAATGTGACCATAGAATAATACTTTAATGATACTTTTATCATAAGTTTTTAAAAATTTTTTAATTTTTTTATCATTTAACAATTTCAATTTTATGATCTTTTTTAGATTTCACCAAATAATAAAAATATCAACAAATAAAAAATGTCAAAAGATAAAAAAAATAGCAAATGGTAAAAAAAAGAAAATGGCAAATTATAAAGAATGGCAAAACACTACCAAAAAATATAGCAAGCACAATTGGAGTTCTCGCTATATTTTTTTGTAATCTACACGCAAAAATACGTAAAAGTGTATAAATTTGAAACTCTTTAGATAAAATATTCTTCGTTTTTTGGGGAAAAATCATGATTTTTATCGAAAATTATCAGTTTTTCCTTGAAAACACTATGATAATTAACTCCAATCGTTCTCGCTATATTTTTTGTAATCTACACGTAAAAATGTATAAATTTGGATCCCTTAGGATAAAATTTTCTTCTTTTTTTATTCGAAAAATCCATCATTTTTTTTTAAAATATGAGTTTTCCTTAAAAACAATATGAACATCAACTCCACTTGTGCTCGCTATATTTTTCCTATAATCTACACGCAAAAATACGTAAGTATACCAAATATGAACTGCCTTCGTCAAATATTGTGTGCGCTAGAAGGATTAATCGCTTTTTTTCAAAATTTTTAATTTTTCCTTGACAACGCTATGTAAATTAATCCGAATCATGTTCGCTATATTTTTCCTGTAATTTTCACGTAAAAATACATAAGTGTGCCAAATTTGAGCTCTCTATGTAAAAAAATGTGGTAACCAGGGGGGGGGTACATAGTCATTTTTAGGGATTTTTCGTAAAAATTCATGGTTTTTCCTTGACAACGCTATGATAATTAATTCCTATGAGATTCGCTATATTTTTCCTGTAATCTACACGCCAAAATACATATGTATACCAAATTTCAGCCCTCTAGATAAATTCGTGTGGCCGCTAGGGGGGGGTACCTGCATTGCTTCACTAGTCTCATTAATAGGGTTCCCCCGTCGGGTACGGAATCCTAAAAAATCGAAATCTCCAGAAGGTGTTCAAGAGCGCTTCAACTGCTTGATAGTGCTATCGGCTGTTTTCTCTTTTACCGTGGTAACAATTGCGTTCTTTTACGATCGCAACCACTCGAAAGGTTGAAAATAAAACCAATATTAATGTAGAAGGCCAATTGTACAATGCAGGCATCACCAATTAACGTTGATTTCATTTTTGCTTCTTCGTGGAGGAAGCTTTATAGTCCTTTAATTTATAAAAATTTTCAAACTGGCGGTAACAAATTTTTCTCTATATAGAAACATGTTATATGAGATCCTGATCAATTGTCCGGAGGTATGTATGTGTGGATTTCTTTTCTAGTTTAGAAGATAACTTTAACAGGGTGTCGATTATGTAATTTGATTTGACGTCAAAATCAAATTTATTTTAACGTCAATGTCAAATTCAATTCAACAAATTCATTGTTTTATTTAACTTACACGTTAAATTAAAATTTAATTTTTTATTTCAATTTAACGTCGCATTCAAATTTATTTTTTGATAGCAATTTGACGTATTGCAATCAAAAAATAAATTTGACTTTGACGTCAAAGTCAAATCAAATTACATAATCGACTCCCAGGTTTTAATGGATTTAGATAAAATTTGGTAGGCTTATTTATCATATTAATATCTCAAATCTGACCAAAGGATTTTAAAAAAAACAAAAAAAAAAAATTTATCGTCTTTTTGCCAAAAAATTTTTTTTAATCGAAAAAATTTTTAAATAGAAAAATTTAAGGTTATATATAATAAAATCGTATTCCTTACATTACGATACATCGATCGGTATATATAAAGTATAGTTTTATTTTAAAGAATTAATGAAAGTTAAAAAATCAAAAATTCACATTTTGGCTATAAAATTTTGTGATTATTTAAATTTAAGTATATAGATGAAATAATTGTATTCCTTGCATGAAAAAGAATCGATTAGTATATATACAGTTTACATTTGAAGTAAATTTAATAAATTCATGAAAGTTAAAAAATCAAAAATTCACATTTTAGCTGAAAAATTGTGTATTTATTTAAATTCAAGTTTAAATTTAAAATAATTGTGTTCCTTACATTGAAACGAATCGATATAATTGTAAATAATTAAAAATTATATATTATTTTTTATTAATTTTTAGAAATTTCAGCTAAAATGTGAATTTTTGATTTTTTAACTTCCTTTAATACTTTAAGGAGGTTCTATGGATAATCGAATAAACAAAGAGATTTTGATAATACTTGGTGTACTACTAAATAATGCTTCTAAAATTATGTAGTTAAATTTTTGAGACCTGTAGGTTCTTGAGAAAAAAGTTATATTCGTTTTACTTTTTCACTGTTTAATATTGATTCTTATGGGAATTCATTATTTTTTCACGTATATTTTTGTACTACAAATTATTAAACAAAGAGATATTGATCAAATTTTGTATAGTTAAACGCAGATATGTAATGAACCGATATTGTATTTAAAAAAGGACAATAGGTACCTGTGAGAGTTCAAATTAATTAATTTATAATTTTTTTTTTAATTTTTGTGATACAGCAAGCACAACTTTCAACGTCTGACAACACGGTATTCCGTGCGTCAATGATTTGAGGTTAGAATATACTCAAACCCGCGTTATTTAAAAAAAAAAACATAAAATACTTGAAATAATTAAAGTATACCCTAGAAAAATATTACACCTGTAATTTATACTTTGATATTTCTGGAATATTTTTTAAACTATTACACGTGTAATTTATACTTTAATATTTCTCAAATATTTTTTAAACTATCACACCAAAAATTATGAAAATTAAAAAAATATAGAGTGCGTATTAGTATAAAAAACTGTTAAATATGATATTAGTCACAACTTCCCATTTTCTACATTTTTATAATAGTCATAGAATAATTAACACATCGAAAGTTTATGAGAATTTTTTTTATTTGTACGTCGAAAGTTACCCTATTGAAAAAAAACACGTATAATTGTACGTATAATAATACGTATAATTATACGTATTATTATACGTATAATTATACGTATAATTATACGCATAATTATACGCATAATTATACGTATTATTATACGTATAATTATATGTATTATTATACGTATAATTATACGTATAATAAGACATACGAATTTGAAACAAGAATTATACGTATAATTATACGTATAATAATACGTATAATTAATTATACGTATAATAATACGTATAATTATACGTATTATTATACGTATAATTATAATTCTATTAAAAATAGAATAATAGAATAGAATAGATTAATTAGTAGCAAAATTGCGCTGAAAATTTTTAAAAATTTTAAAATGCAAATTAAATTTCACAAAAAAAAATATCGTCGAATGTCAATTCAAGCAGTCACCCATCCAAGTACTAACCGCGTCCAACGTTGCTTAACTTCTGTGATCTGATGAGAACTTGTTCCTTCGCCTTGGTGTTTCCGCTGTCTTGTCTTGATTAATAACTTTGTCGTATAAGTATTGTATCGCACCTAACCTCACTTTTAGTGATACTTATACGACAAAGTTATTAATCAAGACAAGACAGCGGAAACACCAAGGCGAAGGAACAAGTTCTCATCAGATCACAGAAGTTAAGCAACGTTGGACGCGGTTAGTACTTGGATGGGTGACTGCTTGAATTGACATTCGACGATATTTTTTTTTGTGAAATTTAATTTGCATTTTAAAATTTTTAAAAATTTTCAGCGCAATTTTGCTACTAATTAATCTATTCTATTCTATTATTCTATTTTTAATAGAATTATAATTATACGTATAATAATACGTATAATTATACGTATTATTATACGTATAATTATACGTATAATTCTTGTTTCAAATTCGTATGTCTTATTATACGTATAATTATACGTATAATAATACGTATAATTATACGTATTATTATACGTATAATTAATTATACGTATAATTATACGTACAATTATACGTGTTTTTTTTCAATAGGGTATTAATGACAGTTATTTTTTATGCATTAAACATTGTGATAAGTTTGAAAAAATTAGTGGAAATGACCTAAACATAAAGAGCCCAGTAAAAAGAAAAAGATACAAGAACCGCGGATTCCAGCTCAATAGCTGGTAAACAAATCCATAAGAATCTCGGATACAAGCACTTTTCGGTATCCGAAATGCTCATATAAGCTTGTAAACTCACTGAAATGGACAACTTTTGTAGGTCTTTTAATCAAGAAAAAGCAATTAAATGGATGCAGAAATGATGGGAAATTAAATTAGAAGCAAAAATAAATGCTAATTTATTAAAGAAACGTACATTTAACCTGGAGAGATAAAGGAATTAGAATATATCATTCCGCAGATCGACACGATAGTGAGTGGTTATAATTTGTGTGAATATAAAATTTTTCCAAAATGTCAGGTTGTGCACCTAGATCAGAGGTAAATAAATTTTTTTGTGAA